CATCATGGAACTATTTTATGCATCTGATTCCCTTCGGATTCACTCGAGGAGTCTCCCCAAGCAGCAAGCCTGATTAACAATATTGTCGGCAACACTTTTTCGATTGAATCGTTTATCTGGAACCAGGTTCCTTTTTCCTGCTTTGTCAGGATTTTGCTTGTATTGCTCCTGTTTCGCGAGTGGACAGTCTTTGATGAAATGTCCTGACTTTCCACATATGTGACAGAGATCGTTGTTTATTATTTTACTTGAACTGCGCACTTTGGTATACCACCATTTCTTCGAACCATCTTTTAAAATCTCTTAGTAAGATAGGCCATGTCACTATCTTCATCACTTGAGTCGCTGCTTTTAGCCTTAAGTACCAGGTTCTTTTCCTTCTTGGGCTCTCTTCTTTCACTGTCTTTCTTTATTTTCATCTCGTATGTCTTCAGATTACCAATCAACTCATCCATGGTCAGAGTTTGTAGATCTTTAGCTTCAGTGATGGCATTCACCTTACTTTCCCACGACCCAGGTAGAACACTAAGGATTTTCCTTACAAGCTTGTTTCTGGGAATGACATCTCCAAGTGAATGAAGCTCATTTATGATGGAGGTGAATCTGGTGTACATATCTTGTATGGACTCATCATTATTCATCCCGAAGAGCTCATATTCAGTGGTGAGTATGTCGATCTTGGATTGTTTGAACTGAGTAGTTCCTTCGTGTGCAGTTTGTAAAGCTTTCCATATTTATTTGGTAGTATCACAAGCTGAGACTTTGTTGTACTCATTAGGTCCTATGCCACACAACAAGATTTTCTTGGCACGATAGTTCTTTTCTACAGCTTTTCTATTAATGTCGCCGAACTCGTTTCTCCCTTTGGGCACCATTGGTCCTGTTTCTTCAAGCTTCTTCATGGGAATATGTGGACCATCACAAATGATGTCCCACAATTCTGAATCTTCTACCATCATAAAATCATGCATGCGGGTCTTCCACCAGCCATAATATTGACCATTGAATCTGGGAGGTCTATAGGTTGATTGTCCTTTTTCAAAGTTTGGTAGAGCAGCCATTGAGGATCCTTCCTAGGTGTTAGCCTGATAGGAGAAACCTGCTCTGATACCAATTGTTAGTTTATATGAGTCCACCAAACTATAGAGTACCTGGTCCTATATGAGATGATGCTTAGAATGCTGTAAAGACTGAAAGTAAAGAAGGCAAGGGAATTTTATGTGGAAAAATCCCACACACGGGGATAAAAAAACCACGACTTACTCTTGTAGGATTTTAACTTCACTAACTTACAATCTCTCTATTACAAGCCACTTTGAAAAAACCCTATTACAAAGACTTCAACTAACTTGTGATGCACCCACCACAAGTCACTCTATAACTATCCTAGTTACAAAGGCTTTAAACTTATGACTATCCCTAGTCATAAAATAAACTCAAAAGTTTACGAATTTTGATTTGTTCCTAAGACAACACTTCTAAGAAAGCAAACTAGGAATTACAATGACGAACAAATAACAAGATTACAACTCAACTACGGATGTACATAAACTCATTAAGAAACTGATCCTTAGTGGAGTTGTCTTCTTGTTCTTGACATACCTGTGACTTCAATGCCAGATGAATACTGTTGTTGCTTGAGAGAATATCACTGAATGCATAAAGAATGGTGTGTCTTGCACCAGGTTGTTTTATCACAAAAGATAACAAAATGGGTAGTGATGTCAACTCTTGGTGTACGCTTCTTCCCAATGAGAAGTGACTGATGTACTGTCTGCACAACCACTTCTGGGCAGTTGCGTTCCAGCTGGATAGTCGACTTTGTACTTTTGTCAGGACACACCAACGGACCAGGTCCTAGTTGTGTTCCTCTTCTGTGATAGTTGCTAGATGATCACTTTCTTCTGCTACGTTCCAGCTGTACATTTGACTTGTACTTCTGTCAGAGAACTCTTAGGGAGCAGGTCCCTGTTGTGTTTCTCTTTATCTTGATTGCGTACAGTCACTGACTTGTGCTTGTGTCGGAGAACCCTAAGGGACCAGGTCACCAGGTCCCTGTTGTGTTCCTCCCTGTGGTTGTTCATCCATTTTTTGATTTTCAGACTTCGACCAGGAAACATGAAATGTATACCCTGTGGGCCAAGTTCTCTATTTTGTTCTTCACGACAAGTTTGTTAGATCATCAAAACATAAAAAGCATAAGGCCAAGGCATTGAAAACCCATCAGATAATATTCTCGAAATCATTAATTTCGGAATGTAACAACAAAATGAAAAAGATGTCCTTCTCCAGATCCCTTATCTTAAAACCCCTTAAGAAAATCAAGGTTAACACAAAAAATAAAAGTTTATTCAAGTTTATCTAGTGCAAGTATTATATTATACCTCGTAAATTCCATTTTTAATCTAATGAAACTAATATATATCAATAGAAGTATATCATTCACGGAATAATCTCATTTTTATTTAATCCATATATTATAATCCTCATACTTTATATAACCGTATATCATGTCATATTTAAGATCACAAATTCTAATTAAGGTTAATTTTGATATGTACCAAAGTACATCTTTCTTAAATTTCGAGTTCAATTCAAATATGTAATATAAAATGGAACAGAGGGAACAATACGATTAATTATAATCCCGATATAACTTATCCATATAACAAACAACCCCTTAATGACATGCTCTTATAACATGACATATTTAATACCACAAGTTGATTTAAGAATAATTTGCTATTATCCAAAAAGTTTCTAGCTTTCTTTTTTTCTTTCTTATAGTTCGTGTTTTAGCCAATTGCGTAATATAAAATGAAACCGAGGGAGGAATATATTTACAATATCATGACTCTATAGATATGAACACAATGACTTTTTCTTTCCTTACGTGCGTAGGTGAACTTAACCTAATCATATTTTTTATATCTTTTTTAAACCAAATTTCTTGGTCAACTGACATTGTCTATTCTCTTTAAGTAATATTGTACACACTCTTTTGCGGACATATTTGTAATATAAAACAAGAAACCAGATTCATGACACTTAGGTGGTTGTCCTACCTACCCAAAGGAGTGTTATATGATGGTGGGTTTATTGTATCTGTATATATTTACAGATTATCTCTCAGGGCTAAATTATACGTATATATTCAAAATGGATAAAGATTTCGATCTTGATTTAGCTTTAACGGTGGTGGGAATTTCAGGCAGCACGACGGCTGAGAGGCCGCGGTGTTTGGCGCCTTCCGATGAGGACGAGATTCAAGTTCAAGAATTTCCTATGGTTATAAATTATAAGGTTGGCCTTTGTATAATATGCATGGAAGGGTTTCAAAGAGGTGTTGATCATGGCAAACAAGTCCCTTGTGGCCATATTTTTCATGCAAATTGCATTACTAAATGGCTTTCTACTTGTAATTCTTGCCCTCTTTGTCGTTTCAAAGTCTCCGCCGCCACGTCATCCTTGTCGGTAACTAATTGACTTGATGAAGTTTATTGAGCTAACTCATAGAGCAGTCGACTAAAAGTAAAAAAACATTGGAATGAGAGAAGGCGGCCGGCCTCTCTCGAGAAAGATGGCCCAATTTCGAGATAATTAGTATTTGGATCTTCCTCATTTGCTCACTTTAGATGTATCGAAGTGGTTAGAATTTTCTTAACCATAATGGAAGATGAGATTTCTTGTCAAGTTTCCAATTCTTTTTCTATTGAATGTGTATGCTTAGACCACACGAATTAAGGGAATGTTCAAGCATTATTTGGACGGTTTCTTTTTCTCTTTTTAGTTACAGTTAGGTGTTTGAATCAACTTGCATATGTGCTTCAATTATTCTATCGAATACATACTACCTTCCATCAGCATAGATATCAGATAATTCTGGCAACCATGGTTAAAGTAACTAATAAAAAATACTTAAATATTTTTGCCTCAGGTGAAATTTGAACCGAAAACCTTATTGTTCTCTTTTCAGTTCACTGACCACTAGCCCATACCTTAATACATTTAGACAATTTCTTCTCTTTTTTTTTTTATAATTATTATTGGAATATATCAGCTTGGGCACACTTCGACTATTTTAATGAATACATACTACCTTCGATCAACATAAATACCAAAAGGAAAAGAATTACTTGAATATTTTTGTCTCAGCTGAAATTTGAATGAAAAACCTTATCATTCTCCTCTCAGTTCATTAACCACTAGGTCACACCTTGATATATTTTGACAATTTCTTCTCTTTTGGTGTAAAGCATTATACATTACAGTCAAGACATAGATAGTTCACTTTTCTTCTTAATTTATTAGCATACCAAAGACGAATTCTTTGTAACATTGGATTAATCCATGGGATTCTCCACCTATACATGCCCACACTTATTCAATTATTGAAGTTCTAATGACCATTCAAAACCCATAAGAATTACTCCCTCCAGTCCACAATAAGTGATCAATTTATCTTTTTATTTTGGTCCAAAATAAGTGTCCGTTTATATAATCAAGAAAAAATTCAATTTGTTTTTTCAAAATTACTCTTATGTACTAATCCTTAAAAAGACTTTTACTCCTCATATTAAATTATGCTACAATATTTAATTGATGGTAGTTTAATCACACTGACTATTTTTGTTTAGATTTTACTATTTCCTTAATGGGTGTGCCCAAAGCAAATTTGTCACTTATAGTGGATCGGAGGGAGTAACCAAATAGCCACCCACCTAATATCTTAAGCTAAAATAGCCGGTGGATGTATACTATATGTATAATTGTGTATAATTAATGTATAATCTATATATACCGGCTAGAAAAATAAATATTGAATCTGGTCGGCTATTTATAAAGCAATAAACTAACCAACACTCATTTTATTCAACTATAGCACAAAGACAATGCTGCTTTTACACAAATTTATAATTAAAAAAGAAAAAGAAAAGGGAACATCCAAAAGAGTGCACTGTTTTACATATAAACATTATGGCATGTGAAAGGTTAATTAATTACCGATAACTGCGGTAATTAGGAGTATACATGCAACTCTCATCAGCATACGTAACCAAATCTGCATGTCGGGAAATACGTGTTGCCACACCTGAGGCATATATAGTATATTAAATTCCACTCATTAAGCCACACTAATTCAAGGTTAATTAGAAAGGACGAAAAACTCACCGAGTTCGTATGCTTTAGCAGCTACAGTACTAGCAGCAATATAAGCTGAGATCTTTCTGATATTACCAAACGGAGGGTAAATCATCCCTTTGGCAAAGTGCTCCTCAGTTACTTGAGCAGCCAACGCTTCGGCTGTTTTCATATCAAGATCGATTTATTAGCACTTAAAATTGCACGTTTTCACTTGTTGCGAGTTCAAAAAAGTTCCGAATCTGATCGTTAAGCTATATATAATTTTTTTATTCCCCTCTCCTTTGATCCCCTTTGTTGGAGCTATTGCTCCTGTGGTGACTCAAATCCACAACCCTCGGGTTGTATGTAGGGGGTGCTGACCATCTGAGCAACCCCTCTTGTCGATCCTTAAGATATGATAGTCTCTGTACTTACAAGCTGCTAAAAGCATGTCATTGGCAGGCAGATGTCCTATAGTTGAGTCTCGCCGATACCCATTGTCAAAGAAGAATTTCTATGTGATAAGCCCGTACATAACGGGACGTGTTAGTGACATAAATGAGTAAATAAACGTGTGTTGTCTCTAATCGCTTAAATTTTCTAGATGAGAGAGAAAGCATATGCGTTCAAAATTGTAACCTGGCTGGAAATGTAGAGTTTGTTATTGTATTCCACAGGAGGGACTAGACTTCCACTTGCAAAGACTGCACGACCCTATCTGTGATGACCCGATAGGTCATCTTATGTATTAGAATCAAACTCTGTATTTCGAAGTCTTTAGAACCTCATTTTAGACTTTCTCGATCTGCGTGCCCAATCCGGGTATTGACCCGGAAGGCTTATATGCTAAAACTAATAAACATAAGAATTTTTACTTTAAAAGTTAATTATAGTTGACTTCGGTCAACGTTTTGAGTAAACGGATACAGACCCGTATTTTGACGGTCCAGGTTGGTTCGTATTGAAATATGGGACCTGGGCGTATGCCCGGAATAGAATTCGAAGGTCCCTAGCTCGAGTTATGAATTTTTGTTGAAAATTAAATGTCTGAAAATTTAATGATTTTTAAGAATTGATTGATGTTTGGCCTTGTTGATACCAGGGTCGTATTTTGGTTCCGGAGCCCTATACAGGTCCAATATAATATTTATGACTTGCCTGTGAAATTTAGTTAAGAACGGAGTTAGTTTGACGTGATTCGGACGTCCGGTTGAGAAAATAGAAGTTTTAAAGCTTTTTTGAAAATTTCATTCGATTTGGTATTCAATTCGTAGTTCTATGTGTTATTTTGGCAATTTGATCACGCGAGTAAGTCTGTATGATATTTTTAGACTTGTGTGCATAGTCGGTTTGGAGCCCCGAGGTTTTTGGTGAGTTTCGGATAGGCTACAGAGTGTTTGAACTTAGAAAAACCAAAAGTTGATACAGCAGATCTGCAGACTTCGCATTTGCGAGGTATGGCTCACAAATGCGAACCTTGCATTTGCGAAGAGGCCATCGCATTTGCAAGCAGTGGGATGGGAGGGACAACTTCGCATTTGCGAAGATAAGGGTCGCATTTGCGATCCTCAGGTTCCGCATTTGCAAACATTTTATTCGCATTTGCGAAGGCAGCAGAAGTGTGAGAGTTTCACATTTACGAAGCTTTTCTCACATTTGCGAGCTTCGCAAGTCGCATTTGCGACATCTCCAGTTGTGTAAAAATGACTTAGATGGGATTTTTCCCATTCTTCAAATTTTCAAACCTAAAAATATAAGAGGCGATTTTCAAAAGACTCCTTCTTCCCCAAATCATTGGTAAGTGATTCTAACCTATCTCATTTCAATCTTTCACTATATTTCACAAGATTTCAACCTAAAATCTAAGGTTTTCATGGTGAAATTGCAGATTTTTGGGTAGAAACTAGGAATTTCAAAAATTGGGGATTTAGACCTCAAATTGAGGTCGGATTCCAAAACCAATTATATATCCCGGCTCGGGGGTGATGGATAATCGGGTTTTTGTCCGAATTTTGGGTTTGAACCAAGCGGTCCGGGTGTTGACTTTTTGTTATGTTTTTCAATAATAGCCTAAATTAAATTCTTTACGATCGTGGGTGGTTCCTAAGGCTTAATTTGAATTGTTTGGTTGGTAATATGCTAGATTCTATCGGTTCGGAGGCTCGTTTGAGAGGAAAAGTCGCGGTTGAGCTTTGAGTATGACCGTTGAAGCGAGATAAGTATCGTGGTTAACCTTGGCTTGAGGGATTATGACCTATTTGTCTATTTGCTATATGTCTAGATGTTGGGTACAACATATAGGTAAGGTGACGCGTACCTATGCGTTATTGTCGGGTTATAGCACGCGGGTGGGTCTTATTCTTGTATTTGTTGCTTTCCTTGATCATATTATTCATGCTTAGACTAGTTAATCATTGTGTTGATCATTCTTATCATGTATACGGATTTTGGTATTGATTGAGTATTGACTCAAAGTTGAGGTTGGTATTGTGGAACCAAATGTTGAAGTAAGACTTGTTTTTGTTATTTCTATCCCCTTGTTGTTATTGTTCATAGTTTTAGTGAGGGAGAGTGTTAATGCACGAAGGGTGATGCTGTCACACCTCCTTTTTCTACCCCGAAAATGGTATATGGGAGTTTTTCCAAGTAAAGTGACAATAACCGAAACATGATTATTTATTCAAATTCAGAGTCGCCACTTGAGATAATTTATGGTGTCCCAAGTCACCGATTTAAAATCCCGAATCGAGGAAAAATTGACTGTGTTTTACAGTCTACGAAACATAGAAATCCGGGTAAGGAATTCTGTTAACCCGGGAGAAGGTGTTATGCATTTCTGGGTTCCGTGGTTTTGCTCAACTATTAACAATTAGCCTAATTATCTGATTTATTATATATTTTATACCTATTGTGCATTTTATTCTTTCTACCGATTTTAATTAATTATGGAATCATTCTGGAACAAGTTACAATTGTCGTACACTTGTTTGTTTGGTACACATTATGAATCGCATCACGGGAACCGTATCCACGATTTACAACATGTTTAAATTATTAACATTATTAGTTGGTATGGCCGGGTCACATAAATGTATCCCCGAATTTGAAAATTTTGTACCATAACTACGTCACGGGAACCGTACCCGTAGCTATGATAATTTATTTATTTAACACGCCTAAAGCAAACTACGATAGTTCAAAGCATTTTTCTACATTAGTTAAGATATTGATGTAAGGACCATAGACTATGTGATTGGACGACACACCTCAACTTGTTTCAAAAAGATTTGTGCTCAAATTAAAGCGAATTACGGGTATCCATACTTAAAACTAATTGAATTTAGGGATCACAACCACGCTAGGGAACCATACCCGTAATTGTGATGATTTAATTGCGTGCCTAAAGCAAACTACGAGGATCATGTTTAGACTAAGTCAAAGTTCAATCTAAGCCGCTAATGGTGAATATGCTTTGAGTAATATGCTAAGCTTTTAATTGTCTTGGGAGGAAATGGGCCAACAACAGGCCCAATTTGTTTTATGCAAAAAAGTCTTTAAGAGAAGAATATAAACTGGGCTTGAAATTGAGCCCAGAAGTGAGGACAAAAGCAAGCGGTCTCAACGACTTTGGCTGGGCCAATAACAGGCCCAACTTTGCACAACTATGCCTTCAGTACCAGAAATTTATTTTTTACAAGCATTAGGAGGAAAGTTTAATAAACTATTTGATCACATTTTTAGAAAACAAAATAAATGTTGGCATTGTTTGGACCCTGAAGTTGAGCCCAGCACGTGAAGAAGGGGTCCAGAACCCACCAAGGGGTGATCCTGACCAGGCCACCCATTTAGGCCCACATTTGGCCCAGTTGCTACTAAGGCCGACTGACCCTATTGAAATTTCTTGATAATAATTACATAAATCATGGAAATTAAATATTGACTAATCAATAACCAAGAGTAATCAAATTAAGTTATACAAATGGGATAATTAGAAATAAATTTACAAGACTCTAATAATAACCCAGCAGTCCTAGTGTCTAACTAACTATCATTGAAGGCTTCACAAAACATTCCCATCTTCTGCTAGGACAAATGACTCTAGCCTATGTGACTTGGTAATTCAAAAAAAAAAAAAAACAGCACTTGTATTTGCAAAAATAGGTACAGAGCTAGCTTGCAAATCTGCATCCAACTTGTCATAGTTGAGAACACATGAAACAAACAGTACATGACGAAAAATCAGAGGAAACAAATGCTAATAACTTCTTTCAATTGTTATTTCAAAGAACTGAATCTCGAATCTACAGTAACAAGCATTAAAAGCCAAAAGCCATTCAAACATCAAAGTTAAGTCACATTGTATGCTTGCAAGCTTGAATCAAACTCTACTACCATTTGAATTACTACAAAACTTCAACTCAAGAATTACATAACGAGAAATTAAGCCCATCTTATAAACCATCAATGAAAACTTAAAATAACTGTGGGGAGACTTGAACTAACATTTCATGACAAACAAGGAATAAACAATAAAAACAAAACACTAAAACTACTGGAGTCTCACATTGCAAATCAAACCGGAAATTAGAGTCATTTTTGATAATAAAACATACTAATTTCAATAACCCAACACAAATATAATATAGAGAACATCATCTTTTCATTGCATGAACTTAGCATATAATAAGATAGGTAGGGTTTACATACCTAAATGCAGGAATAACAGCAAAAGACCAAGCAGAAGCAATGCAAACACAAAAACTGAAATCAACTTCTAGGTACAGCAGTGAAGTGCAACAAGCAATACTCAACACAACTTCATTATAAAACCATGCTCAGCTCAAAGACCCAGAAATTCAGAGAAAACCTTTTTCAAACTTTGGTAGTAGGAAGGAAAAAATCAGAAAATGAAACCTGAACCTCTGAGAAGACTTTTGGGGACTGTTTTTCGTGTCCAAGGAGTGAAGGGGAGGGTTCTATTTATAGGCAACTGAAGTGCCATGTGCTGAAAACAGAAATCCAGGGAATTATTCCCTCATACAGCCCCTAAAAGCATCTTTTTAACAGAAATGGGATAGCTGGCAGCCTCTAATTGGTTTCAGCATTTTTGTGTTGGCCAAATAGAGCTAGCTGCCCCAAATTCTAAAAGCTTCTAGCCAAACCTTTGTTTGCATACCCCACCCATGACCCCCTTAAGTTTTTATTGTTCAATTAACTCCCATAGGTTCCTGTTTATTCCCAAATCAGGACCAACAACACAAGACCAGAATCAAAACGAAACAAAGATCAAAGGAACAAATCATTAAGCAATTAAACCTTTAGACTAACCCTAAATTCATTTAACATGAACCGAATCAGAAATCATCAACAAATCTATCACCAAAATGAGTCTCATAAAGGGAAAAATTGTCAAAACTTATTAAATGGACTACTGTGATGAGAACTTAGCAAATTCTAGTAAACATGAACACAAATACTGAGATTAATTTAAAGTTGGAACCATGAAAGCTAAACGTAAAGACAATGATGAAGGAAAAACAGAAAGAGACCTTACCCCAACTTAACCCAGAAGAAATAACGATGATGAACTCCGGTGGATGGATAGAACCGATGAATTTTGACCGGAATCCGGATAGTCTGCCCAAATCTGATGATCTCGGAATGACTTAAAACTATCATCAATCGATTGCTCTTGTTGAGAGCAATCTATTAACATAAGATTTCAGTCAAAACGAATTGGATTTTGTGAGAAAATCGGAGAAGAAAAATTAGGGCTTTTTCTGGAATTCCTAGATTTGAAATTGGAATCACTCTGTTTGTTTTTTTGGGAGATTAATGGTGGCTTAGTGGAGAGGTGGATGTGAGCAGTATGGGGGGTGGATTTGGAGGTCGTTTGGTGGTGTTAAGGCGGTGGTCGTGGTTGAGGGGATGAGGGAATTTTAAGGCGGCTAGAGCAAGATATTGAGAGAGATGAGAGGACTGAGGGTACCGTTAGGGTTTGGGGGTAACATTCCGACACTTATATGGGAGGGGATGATCAGTTCCAAACCGTCCAATATAATGAGATCAACGACTCAGATCCAAACGCAAGGAACAACGCCGTTTGGGTTATGGATAGAACCTGGACCGGGTAAAAAGGGTTGGGATGGGGCGGAACATGGGTTTTTGGGCTCAGAAACGATTTTGGCCCAATTTCGGGACCAAATTAAAACTTTTTCCAATTCCCTTTCTTTTTCTCTTTGTTTTTTTTCTTTTGTTTCTTTACTTGATTTAAAAATCCTAGATTAAACCCTAAATTAATTTAATTATAAAATTAAGCTAATTACAAAATTAACTAATCATAAATTAAAGGAAAGAAAATTACTAACTTAATATTAAACGTATAAATATAAAAATATAAAATGAAAAGATGTGTGTAAATATATATATATATTATTTTAATAACAATTAACTAACCAAATTAATCCTAAAATAAGAATACACATCCTAATATACAATGCATGGAGTTTTGATATATTTTTAGGGTATTTTCTATGATTTAATGCATGCAAAAAAAAAATAAAAAAAAATAAAATGCAAACACTTGAACAA